ACGGGCCAATTAACACACCCTTACAGTCACTTTGCGTCATCAGAGCAGCACAAACAAAACAGCCACATATTCAACTGTAACCAAAGATAATTTTTAATTTTTTTTTTTTTTCAGCACAATTCTTCTGCTGTTTTCCTAAACAGATAATTTTTGGGACCATAAAAGGGCTCAGTAATGGCATGAGTTCATTACAACATGGGCAGAGTTGGGGAGGAGATTTAGGCTCAAACTTGCAGAAATCTTAGCACGTAGCTGCTTTTTAACATTTACACGGTCCCACTGACTTTCGCATAAATAAGTTTTCATAAAAGAAGTCCCTACTTCTTTATGCAGTGTGGTGTTTGGATACTTGCAGTGTCACCAAAAACGTCTTAATCAAAATGAAATTCAAAGTACAAAACTTCTTATAATTCTCCTCTAAAAAGGAACAAGAAAGAGCCCAACAGTAGTTATTTAAACAAATAAAAATCTAGTGATGATATGAAAGTAATAGTGACATTTATTGTATAAAGACTATTTAAAATGCACATGAGGTAAATACATATAATATACAAGATATTTAAAAGCTTGCACTAATAATTCTGGGACCACAAACACTGCTTTCACTGATTTTTAAAATAAATCAACTTAAAATATCACCTGTTGAGCTACCAGTTATAGCTACTATGCTCTATCATATAAAGACATATTTTGAGCACTCTGAAAATGCACATTTTTACTTAATTTACTGCCATTACCTCGGCATCTCTTCTATTACATTATAGTTTCTAAATGAGAGATTTGAAAATTTCAAGCACATTTTTCTATGGAAATTCAAAGCTCAGTGATGGCTTAGGTTTAAGTTGTAGTCTGGGTGTACCAATTATTCAAGAAATTAAAAAGTCTTAGGTAGACATTCAAATAAAGACTATGAAAAGTTTAAATCTCCCTGTGAACGACTTAGGTTCTTACAGAGACTGCAGCATCACAATGACAAAAGGTTCTGTTCATCCTATGCTAAAGAAAAAAGCCCTCAATTCAGAAAATTCAAAGATTGGTTTCTCAACTAGCTTATACTGGAGTAGTCTTTTAGATTAAAAACAAACCTTAGATTTTCTACAAGATGAGAACAGGGTCCAGAGATTTTATCAGTGGAAGAATGTGGGGACCATGGTTTTAAATAGCCATGTTAGATTATTCTAGGGCATTAGATCATATTTAGCTTATCACACTATTTTAGATTAGCTCTGGATGTAATTAAAAAAAAAAAGCTTTAGAGAAGGGATGAAATATTATAAAGATTGTGCTTACTATCTCTGAAAAAATATGGCACTTAATTCTGCCCTTTACTGAACTAAACTGTGCAGAGGGAGGCAACTTGTGAAGTTAGATCTTCTAAAGGAAGAGAAATTCATCTGCTGTGATAGAGCGGAGTTACTTCTGCTCTCGAAACCTGTGATCCTTGCAGCTAAGCAGAAATGTATGAGCTGTGTTTTTGTTTGCAGTGCTGCCACCCTTTTCTCTGAATGCCTTTACTTCTCTAGTTGCAATGTTATGTTATTGCAGAGGCAAGTTTGGTTTTTAAAGATAGAACTCTTTCTCAACCTCACAAAATGTGCTGTGCTCCTTATCCAAAAGAGGCAGATCATTTTAATTCAAAGCGTTATTTTTGTGTAACATATCACTTTGGCTTATATTTTCCATGCACAACACTAACCATCAATGATATTTTAACAAGGAGGATTGTTCAGCCAACTTCTGAGATTAGCATTCACACGACTGTGGGACAAAGCACTGCAGATTTGCCCAGCTTATCAAACAGGCCACCAGCTTTTATTATTTCAGGGAGAATCAAATTGGAAGTTGCTTCTTGAACTAATCAGGGCTGATTTGCTCTAAAGTTGCTTCCTGACTTAGATCTCAGGCAAGGAAATGCTGTAATCAGTTCCCAAGGGCCGTCAGAGTTGTGATGGGATATTAAAGGAATGGTACACTACCTTTTAAGAGTTCCTTAATCTTGGCAGATTTTTTTGTTTAACTCAGTCAAACCTGAGCTTGTTGTGTAGAAACAAAGATTAATTTTATGAGGTAGCTTTATATAAGAGATGAATTTACTTAAGGTAGCAAAACTGAATTTTGGAAAGAATGTATTCAGGTTTCATGCAGAGGTTGTGCAGCTTATTTATAAATATAGACTGGCAGAATTGTTCAAAACTAAACATTTACCACACATCACAAAAAACCCCCACAACTTCATGAAAGAGAAAATGAGTCCCCCTGAGTGCCTCTGTTTGCATATTAGCCCATAGTATGGGCTCTGCCAAGTTACTCTCTGACTGACTGCTGCAGATGCTCTTTCTCAAGTATTCTGAGTGAGATCTTTAGTGCAAGTCTTTGGGGACAAACAATAGCACCTGTTCCTCACAAGATAGCAGCCCAGTTAGTCCATTCATGTATCTTTAATGAAGCTCTGGGGCAGATGGCAAAAAATGGCATCATCAACGACAGCGCAGAGGAGACAAAAGGGGAAAGTGCCGATCCAACAATACGTTATTTTTACGAATGGGAAGAGACAGAGTCAGAGTGTTTCTTAGGCATCTGCTACCGTCTTGGTTTTCAGAAAGACCTGAGGAACATCTCAGCAATTAAAATTTCTGGGCATGTAGCCGATTTTATGAAGTACATCAATCAGTGCCTCCGCCCAATTTTTCACCCCCCTTACTGTAATCAAAATCATCATCATCATAAGAATAAAACTCTCATGAAAAGAAATTGTTAAAAATAAAAGATTTCATTGGATTTTTTGCAATTATTTTATATATTTAATAATTCTATGATTAGTGATACTTTTACATTCTCTTCATTTTTACTGCTTATTTATGTTTTTCAGTTGACCTATTCTGAAAATGGACCCCTATGAATATAATAATTCTGGGTGAAACAAACATTTATGTAGGAACAGTGTTTAATGTGTGCCAGAGAGAAGACCCATGGGAGAGAATGGTTCCTATTCAGTATAGGCTCTTTCTGGCTCTATAACTCTCTTAAATGCAAACTCAAACTTACAGCCTAAATGTAACCTTTGGTCAAAGTTACATTGATTTATATAGTCTATATATGTATGCACCATCACTCAAACCATAGCACTCACTCTGATCTCTCCTGTGTCCTGTGCCTTTGCAATGTCATGGAAATAATTCACATGTGTGGGATATTTCTTAAGGTTTTAGCTCCATTTGATTAGATGTTAGTTAGGAACTACTGAAAATGATTGTAAGTTGTACTATATTGAATTTCTTCCATTAGTGTTGCTTCTATCAGACAAAGCCTGTGGTTTTTGTTTGCTGTACTCCTGTAGAGCCAGTGTGTAGGAACACCATACAGCAAAACCAGCACCATTTTATCAGAGGTAAATGCCTCTTCTGGACACATGGGGTTCAACTCCAATCTGACCAAGTTTAGCTTATAACCTAAAACACACAGCCAGGCTTACCTCAGCTAAAATGAGAGAAATAGCTCTGCAAAGCTAGTTTCTTTCACGCCCCAGTGCCATAGCAGTAATTGCACAAAGACCTTTTTATTATAAGTTGATTTTCCTGAGGAATGGATTCAAAAAATACTGTAAAGTGTTTATTTTTTGCTTGACCTTTATTAACCTACATCTTAGGCCTTTCCCAAGAGAAGAGTTGTTGGTAAATTAACCCTCACAGACACACACAGTAGCATTTCTGCACTGCATCAATGGTTGTGAAAGTAATGGGGATATGACAAGAAAATTTGGCACTATTTAAACAATGTCATAGGTCAACATATGGGATTTGACCAAAAAAGTTTTTTAAGAATTAAATAAAAAAAAATTGCTTGAAGTGTACTTTAACTTTTTAATAGTATTTAATGCCACCAATTTATGGTAGGATGAGGGCAAAATTTCTTTTCTGTCTAAACCCCAAATTTCTTCCTACGTTTACAAGCTTTGATATATAAACCGTTATAAATTTGCTTAAGTACTAAGCATAAAAATCACAATCAAACCCTTGGGTACTTCTGGGCTTAAGGCATGATGGATAAAAACTCTTTGTTATCTTATCCACTGTCTCTGAAACACAGGTAGTGTAAATTAAGGAACTAGGACATTGACATGTAGATTTAACAGACACATCTCATCTATCACATCTCTGATTTTCTATATGTTGAATACACAGGCTGGAATAAGGTGAAGACTTTCCTCTGTCTTGTTTGTGGTTTTTGGTACATTCATTAAGGTCAAATTAAATTTGATATAGTAGGTTTTTTTCTGAAATGGTCTTTGAATACAGCTCTATAATTACCAAGCTACATGATAGTGCATAAAGCTATAAAACTGCTCAGACAGACAAGCAATTTATATGTTATTTTGAGGTGTGTATGGCAGAGGATGTTAGTTTATTTGGGAGACAAATAAAGATGTTGGAGCCTTAAACTTTAAGAGCTAGGGTGTTGACTAGGTGGTGAGGTTTTGAAATAACATGCCTGAGTTGTTCGTATATATGTGAACAATACAATGATGTAAGATCTCAGAATTGAAATTACCCTAAGGTTACTAAAATTTGATCGTCAAAGCAGATACTGCAGCGTTAGGTTACTTCTAAATGCTTGTCACTCTGCTATCTGTGACCAAAGATGAGAAAACGTGTGAAAAATTAATAGGTATATGTACTACTCTACTTTTTAAAAAAAACTATGGTATATTTTGTACCTTTTTACCCTGTGCCAGGGCAGGGAATTTTAATTTGAAAAAAAATAATAAAGAACCGGAAAGAAGTAGGAAAATGTGCAGTTCACTGAGACTGTTACACCTTTGACACCGAGGGAAAACAATGTTAGTGAGGGCTTTGATGTGATAATGTGAAGTTGGCAGGGTTTGCATTAAGGCGAAGGTTCTTTGGGACTGTGTGAACACAAGAACACTATCAGTACTGGAGAAATACCTGTCAAGACAAATTTGTGCTATTTCTGATCAGAGGCTCTCTTCTGTTTAGCAGGTTCAGGGTCACATGCCTCCGCTCATGATCCCAATTTTTCCACACGACCAGCGGACGCTGGCAGCGGCTGCTGCAGCCCAGCAGGGATTTCTCTTCCCCCCAGGAATAACTTACAAACCAGGTAAGCTGATAGGGATGTGAAGCTATTGCACATTTTAAGACATTAACTGTATCTTCTTGTGTGATCTATCTCATGTAGATGATACACAGCAGGCATAGCTGCTTGGAAATTGTGTGGAGCTTTTGCAACTCCACTTAAAAAAAAAAACCTTCTGGATTGAAGGAAGTGGTTGGACTACTGGTTATTGAACATCATGATTTTTTTTACCTTTATTTCCCTCAAAATCATTTACTTTAAATATATTGGCCCACTTAGCTAGCAGTTTGCATCTGGTCTGCCCTGTGTTATTACAAAAGCTGCACATCTTTAATTAATCCTTTTATCTTCCATGTATTTGTCTTTTGTGTCAAAATTCTCACCCTTTTGTTTGATTTCAATCTGGTTAATAAAAAGTTTCAGTAGTTCAATTCCAGTCATCATTCAGACTCATAACAGGTCACATAACCTTGCAGTGAAATATGTTTTGAGATGATTTAGCAAATGTTATGATTTCTTTCTTTTTTCCTCCAAGTTTACAGGACTCCTGGGGAATTCAATTAGGGATATAATGGTTTGAAGCTACTTTCAGAGTCTCCTTGTAAACAGGGCTTTAAATGTTTAAAGACACTTTGCCAAAGGAATTCAATGTAGGAAGATAGTTAAGTAAATAAAAGTCAACCTTATTTTCATTTGTACATTCTTTGTAAGTGACCTCAGTCCAGAAGCAGCAACCTTATTTTGCTCATTAATAGTATTCGCTGTCAAGCTGCCTTTAGCATATTAACCTGATAACTAATAACTACAAAACATAAAGATCAGTTTCTTTTTTATTCATTAAATATGAAATGTACAAAGTAAAGCATTGATCCGGTTCCCACTGATGTTAGTGACGCTTTTGCTGTTGGCTGCAACAGGAACAGGGTCAAATCCAAAGTAAAGCCTCATAATAGATGATGTAAACAGCATGCTAATTAAAAGCCAGGTTGAACCTAAAATCTTTTCTAGCAAGTTTACTTAATATTAGATGAAGTGAGGCCAAGCAGGATTTCAACAAGTATTTCCGTTTGTTCCTTCTGTCTCTTTAGTCTGGAGACATTCCTCTTTAAAAACACCAGAATCTTTGTCCAGATATTATCTTATTTTCGCTTTTAGAAATCCCAAAGTTCTTTTCCCATTTGACAAACTGGTGCACTGGATGCAGGAACCAGTTACTAAAGTTCTGAAAGGCAGAGATCTCTAGATGGCACAGGATGATGGCTATTCACAACAGCTGGGGACCAAAGTGAAGAATATTTTGTCACCAAAGACAAAGAGTTGCCAGTTGTGGAAATTGTCTACAGCCCCCTGTCTAATATCTTTCTTCTCACAGACAGTTGAAAGCACATGCTTTCCTTGCTTTTCCCATTTTAATCTGACATGCTTTCTGTATAGTGAGTACTAATGACTTAGCTGTTGTGCCTGAAAGGTGTTATGTTAAATCACATTGTGTTAATTTTGCATCTGTAGGCTTCTTGGTACAATAATAATTTAGGACTAGGAGTACCATCATGTTTTCCTGCACATGACCAAATTTCTGCACTTATTCTTAAGTGTTCCTTATAGTACCTATCCTAACACTTTATCAGGATTCAGCTGTTCTAATTTGATCCTACTGACCTTCTAATAGGAGGTGATACAGCTTTAGGGCATTTTTTTACTTGCCAGAGTGCAGAAAGAGAGATGTATGACAAATGTGAGAAGAATGAAGTGCAGGAAGAAACCAAGGCCTAGATGTCTTGCAACATAGCTAAGCTGTTTGCTGGCATGTTATTGGTTTACATCCAGATGATACCAGTAAAGAGCAGAAGTTACAATTATCTGATCATACCCAGTGGCTTTAGGGAAAGGAGAATATTTATATCTTCAATATATTTATTAAATTCTACAGCATATGTGACAAAGGTAGCTGGGCAGGTCAGAAACTTCTGTCAGAGAGACATCATGATTAAAAAAAAATGCTGCAACTACATTTCGTATTGATTAATTCCTATTTTTGGCACCCTCGGCACAGTAGTTAAGGAATTAATGAAACTGGAGATTAAGCTATACTCTTTCATAGAGAGGGTTCTTCAAAGTCATTTCTGAGGAATATTTATTAACTTGACTGCTACTACCTGTACTCTCCTACTTTTGTGAGAAATGAAACTTTCACCTCTAGAACTGTCAGTTTAAACTCATTCATATCTCTGAGGGAAGATAGGAGATGGATTAACCCTTCAGACACTCACCATTTCCCTTTAGGTTGCCTGTCTGGGTTCTATTTCATTTTACTGCAGTTTGAAGTAGGCAAGACTGAGTTTTGACCCTGCCAGTTTTCACTGACATTCAGAAAATGCAGTGAGAGGAATTTTAGTAATAGGAGCAGTGGGAACTAAGTACTTTTGAAACTGACTGTGTCATTTAGGGAATGTCAAATATTGTGTACACAGTCACTTAATTTGCTTTGCCTGCAAAATGGGCTAGATAGAAGCCAACTCCGAAGTGGAAGTGGCGTGTCAGTGTTAGTGTGACAGGACAGCCCAGATGAGTCCTGCCTCGATGTACAAGCAGGGATATGATTATGTGTACATGTCCATGCAGAAATGTCTTCATGGGCTAAGTAGGAGCCAATTTCATGGCTATTTAGTTCAATACCAAGATAGCAGTTACCAAGTACTGTTGCAAATCTACACACAAACTCTATGCTTAGAAGAAGTAAAATTATATTATTTAGCAAAATACACTAGTTCATTCCCTCAACTGAAGGTCCTATAGAAGAGAGGAGAATTTATTGGGTACTGAGGCCCTTCCAGTACATATCTTGGGTGCTCATGAACTTCTGAGCTCAGAAGATCATTATGAACAGAAAACGTAAGGACTTGCTGATATACAGCTATGATAAAGCGTGACAGGGAGAGAGTTTCCTACTGCCTGGCAGAATCTTTAGCACCAAGATGGCTGCAACCCTCCCCCTGTCATATTTTGGAGTTCTAGGAGGTGAAACGGGCCAAAGTTAGCAAGTGCTGATGACAAGTAATAATTACATTAGAAAAAAAATCCCCAAAGTCCCATGCTTCCTTATGTATCTCAAAGTCATGTAATATAATTTTCCGGCATGGTAAGTACTAATTGAGAAATCAGAGCTGCATAGACCACCTAATTAATTTTTTATACATATTTCAGTATTTATACTGTATACCGGATTAATTAAAACTTTAGGGCGCTGTGCATCTCAAATGACTGTTGTGACTATTGACCTGCAGGCATTTGACGAGCCTCGTAGAGTACCTGGTTGTGGGGGTTGCCACTTATTCCAGTGGGAAGCTGAGAGTGGCAGCTGTTAGGAAGCTAATACTTGCCCAGAGATGCTACGCAGTTAATAGAATTATTTTGCATTCTGAGTACAGCAAAGCAACTGCACTGGCTTTCTGACTGTGACCACTACACTTGCTGCTTGGAACTGGTAGGTGACATGGGTACCATTATACCTCCTCTCCCAGTGCAAGTTTCCCTTCATTTAACCAACCACATGTATCCAGGAAAACTTAGTGGACTGGAGTACCTTTGATTAGCATGTCCCCATTAGTGCCCTGGGACAAGAGGAGAAGAGAGTGAGTGGAATAAGGAGGAAGACAGTTTTCTCCTCCATCTTGAGGTGACTAAAGTATTACTTCCATCAAGTTCTGTGGCTAAGAGGGAACAGGGAAGTAGGATGACGATGGAGTAAATACGTGAAGAATGCTGGGCAGGAGCCAGACCGTACATTGAATTGAGCTCAAACAGACCTATGGTTTGCTCAAAGCAGAGAGTGAGAGGCCTGGTCTTTATGTTGTCTGCATAATGGCAGTCCATGTGACTTGAAAATGTGTGATTACTATTGCTTGATAATCTTCTGCAAATATTTTGTGTTATATAATTTCTTTACCATATCTGGAATCTCTGAAAAAGATTTTTGAAAATAGAGACATTGAGTAGAGTAAAACTCTATTTAGAAAGGTTTGTTGAGTGATATACTGCAGTCTATTTTCAAAGCATTTTTTCATGTTTCATACAAAAAGTATATAAAGACCATTACTAGAATGGCTAAGAAACAACCTTTGTCTGCCTACCTAGGTCATTTGGCTTTATATACAAAAATAATTTACAAATGATTTTGCTATGCTGCAATACAGTGTGAAAATGGAGACTGTTTTTCTAGGCTGGTGGCAAAAATAGTGAGAAACAGAGCCAACATTTTAGCCTGGTTCTGTTTCTACTTGCATTGGGGCAAACCAATCCTTTAAAATCAATGAAATCAATAGTAGACAAAGCACGACAAACAAAAATGTCAGACCTGTTGTCACTGGACTGGACCTCAGAACATTCCAATATTTGTCATCAAACAAATTAAACTCCTTGATTATGGTAGCTAATCCACATAACTAACATCATCTTAGATGTGCTGGATTTCATTGATATCCAGCATTGCAGTTTCCATTTGGAATAGGCGTTTCAAAAGTTTTTCCCAAAGCTGTAAGGGGGTTTAGATTTTACATAGCTCAGTACTCTATTTTTGCTGTTCCTCTTGGCAGGTGAGAACAGAAAGCGCACACCAAATCAACTGTGTACTGAGTTGGCCGTGTGTCTTTGCATGGCAGAGGTGCTGCCTGAGTCTTGTTTCTAATGGAATTTCCCCAGGAATGAGTTAAAGCCTGTCATGTGTTCCCTGTTGAGTTTTACTGGTTGGAACAAGAAGTCTGTAACCTCAGGATTTGTTGTAGCAATCCATATGTGCCTCACTCCTAAATGCTGAGGTAAAAGCTGGAAGTGGTAGTAGGCAGTATTGTCAGCAGGGATTTTGCATGGAAATTTGCAGATTTCATAATTTTCTAAACATTACCCACAGACAGACAATTATGGGGAAACTGATTTTGCTGCAACATGTGAATTATGATAAAGCAGAGTTGTGGCAAACCCTACTCAGAACAAAAGGCATAAATTAAGTGGTACCATCGGACAGGGGAGATGCTCCATAGTATTCCCTTAACCAGTTACCTCTATTAACATACTCCTCAATCCTAATGGATCTGTACAAGCAAAATACATGCCCTGTGTGGGTGTACTGTGGGAGTAGGCATCTGTATCCTTGCTGTATCCTGACAGCACCCTGAGGAGAGGTGTGCTTTTCTTGGTGTGTTCATTATGCCTGGGAGGGTAGGGCCCTGGATTGGGTGATCTCTTCCAGCTCCGTTTCCTCTCATTCTGTGAGTACACACGGAGAGTGTGCAAGTGGCAGTTTGAGTTCCATGTGTGAAGTGACAGATTTTAAGTCACAATCCCAGAATGGGGAAAATGTTGTCAAACCAAGAGCTTTGTAACTCAGATGAGGGGAGTCAGCTTATGTCTTACAATTGTGTTTTAGGAAAGACGGGTAATAAAGCAACACCTTCCCCCTACTCTGGGTCTCACAAAAGCCAGACATCCTTCTTTCCTCACAGCTCACAAAGCCTTGATCTGGAAGGTAAGTCTATACATCCTATAAATAAAGTCCACTAAGCTTCATCTCTTCATCCAAGACAAAAAGAAACATTTACATTATTTCTATGTAGAACAGCACAGCACAATTGCTCACTGCTTTTATTCGTTTGGAAATGTTGCTCAACCTGACAAACGAAACAGAAGTCTGGCATACTTTTCCATGGCTTGTAAACACCAATTTATATATAAACAACAGCAGCCAAATGTAAATAGACAATCAGCACAGCGAGGAGATTGAACAGATCAGTTTGCAAAACATGACAGATTTTCTTCTTCCAGCATTCTTCTCACTCCTGTTTATCAAAGACCAGCACACACCAGTACCTAAGGCAGACCTGTCTGAACATGTTCTGCTGCCTTTTGTACAAATTTAAAAGAATGGATCCTCATGCAAGCATTCCAAATCGAGAAACAAATTTGAAAAAAATTGCTACAATACATCGACTGATTTCTTGCCAGCTATGAAGAAGCTTCTTCATCCATTCTTGCACTGAGAAAATGAGAGGGGGAGATATGTACCTCTGTAATTAAAAATGAAAAGCAGAGCATTCCTTGCATGTTCAGTTTGCTCAAGGGGGAAAGAAGTACCTTTGCTCTGCTTTTACTGCTTGGTGTCAATGAAGTACTCCAGAGCTAAATGAGTATTAATTTTTCTTCTCAGCCCAAAGATGCTGCTAACATACCAGGACTTAGCCATAATATAACACATTGAAATGAGGGGGAAGAGGGACAGGATTGGGTTTTAATACAAGTAAATGGCATGACTATAAAATTATTTTTCCTGTAATAAAAGAAGGAACTGTAGCCAGCAGGTGAGCAAGAGAACACTACAGGGTGTGGTGAAGATACTATTAAATTAACTGTGAAGCCAAAAACTCTGTGTGTGTGCGCGCGTGTGCGCTTGTGGGTATAAAATATCTGGCTATTTCAAACCATAGGAGCATGACAGCTGTGAAAAAGGAGTGCCGCAGGGAATTCTTTTAGAGTTTGATTTTTTTTAAAATATGTTTGACATGGAAAATGTTTTAGTACAAATAAAGCAACTGGTATTGAACTTAAAAAGTGTATGCGGAGGGGGAGGGAGAAAGAAGAGATTGCTGTGTGGAACAGGAATGAATAATTCATGATATTTAAAGAAAGAATGCCTCCGAAATGTTCTGCAAGGCAGTCCATGCTGATAAGTCGGATGGTTATTTTACCCCCCATTTAAAGCATCATTAATTCAACATCTTTGTGATTTTTTTTAAAAAAACCTTGTAAGATATTTCTCAAAGAAACATTATTTAACTTAGATTAGGATCTTATTTATTCAGATAATTTAATATAAATATCAAAGAGATAAGTGGAATTATTTAACCATAAAGAGACAGCTTTAGCACTTTTAGAAAATAATCTAGGGGGTTTTGTTGCCTTTTTTTTTTTTTTTTTTTTTTTTTTTTTTTTTTTTTTTTTTTTTTTTTTTTTTTTTTTTTTTTTTTTTTTTTTTTTTTTTTTTTTTTTTTTTTAAGGAAAAAACCCAACATCATTGCAAACTAAAATCAATCTCATGGAATGGGGAAAATAAGAAGAGATATTTTGAACATTACTCCATAGGACACCAGTACAATATAGTGTTAGTGAGTGCATTGTAGCAGAGCTCCATACGCAATCAGAATCCAATTGTTACTGGACTGTGTACAAGCGCATACTGTGCTCAATGGCCTGATGAGGTATTATGGATATGATGCAAAGAGACCTTGTGGATTAGACATGTACAATTTATTAAAATAGTGAAGCAACCGAACATTTTAACTGAGCTAAATACAGTAGAACTTCAGGTGGTAAGAAAGGAGGGTTCTGAGGAGTCCAGTGACTACAAAGATTTCAGCTATTGTTATTTATTTAAGGGAGTTGACACAAAATCTAGTTCTTGAAATGTCCTAATTACATTATGTTGGATTTCTGTATTCTCCCTCATTGCTACATTCTGCTTTCAGCATGGAAGAGTTTGTGTAAAATAGACCGATTATTGTAAGTCTCAAAAATGTACAGAGGAGCAGCCTGTTAAAATGTAGCCTACAGATCATACATAACACTGACTCTAAATAAGTAGCTTGAGCCAAAGTGATATTCCATTAAATCATATTTATTGTGTAACTTATCCATCACTATATCAATTTTTATATCTCAGATTACACTGCTAAATTATTTCAGCCTTCCTTCACTCCTTACATTGACTAAGAGTCCCAAAGGCACTGAGTGATGCATATGTGTAGGAACACTCATAGATGCTATAAGACATAATGTTGCAATGCTTAATCTGGAACAATAATATCTCTTATTTTCTGGAGTATTTGTTGTCCCCTAAATGCACATGACACACATTTTCAGTGTCTAGTGAGCAGAACACACAGACTGTAGTACCCTAATCTTCATGTAGTTCCCCAGATCTGAGAGAAAGTTAAAGATGTACTTCCAGCTATTTTAAGAAGTGATGTAGTTTTTTTTCTCTATAACTACCTTAAAGGAGTTGTCCTAAGTCAGAGAACCTCAAAGCAAAATAAGAAATTCAACCTGTGTTGAGCCAACTGGGTAGCTTTCCTGGAAGCCACTCAACACTGAAAAGAAATCACCCTGCATTAAATTGGACTGAAAATTCTTGGGTGATAACAAATTTCTTTTGTTTTAAGAAAACATGTGGTGAAATTTTTTTTTTTTTCCTCTGGGAGCCACTGGGGTTTCCTGGAGTATCTTATCAGTGTGTCTGTGGCTCTGAGGCCCATTTTATGCCCAGGCTTACACGCTTGATCTGAACCTTTGCTTTTGAAAATGAAAATCACGAGTATCGTATTTATGTTTTGCCAGTTTGCCTACCAGCTATCTGCTAACAAAAAAAGTTCCAAGGGAGCATGGCAAGTCTGTGCCCAGTGAAGCCTTTTGTTTTTGCAGATGTTTAGGCTTAAAGGAGTGCTGTGGAGCACAGGCAATCCTAGGTCCTTGTTTGCACTTGTCTGTTGCTATTCTCTGCTCATTGTCTGAACCTGCACGCATTGTTCTCCCGACAGGTGATAACTACCCTGTGCAGTTCATTCCATCAACAATGGCAGCTGCTGCTGCTTCTGGACTCAGCCCTTTACAGCTCCAGGTATGTGCCAGAACAAAAAAATGTGGGATCGAAGCCAACATTTTAGGGGAAAACTGCTAACCAGCTGTATGCTAAATAATAGTCTGAATGTTAAATAATTTTTGAGCACAGCCCAAGAGGATTAACACCTTATGTACTTACAGTACAGCAAATACAGTAATATGCAGCCAACCTTGATACTGTGAGTGAAAGACATTGTTCTGTGTGTTTTATATTGGCAGTTAATGGTATTTTTTTATTTACATGACCAGCTGATGGGAGATAAGTTCAAAAATCTTTCTGTACTTTATTTTCATGTGGTCTCTCCCCTGTAGCTGCAATGTTCTACTTTTAATTGAAGCAGTCAGTGTATCCAAACAAAAGTATGTTATTGGTTTTTTTTCTTTTTGTCTTTTTTTTTTTTTCCCATACAGCGTGGTGTTGACAATACAATAAATTGCACACTCTTTTAGCTTCTGTATTTAGGTAATCTCAACCTTTCTGTGCATTAAGCTGGTCAGATGCCAAGCATGGTTTAGGAGCCTTAGTTTGGCCGTTTATTTGTTTTTGGCACACACAGAGTGAAATGTTGTGAAAGAAAGATTTATGTGCCATATTATTAGCTAGCTTCTTGTGGCAAGAAGTTTTTAATTTCACAAGAAAAGACACAACAATGTCATAAATAATGAAGAAACAGTCAAAAGCTTTCAGAGTTAAAATGTGTGGAAAGAAAGTGACAGTGAACATGAGAGGAAAGGCCATTAAAGATGCATGTAACTATTTGCAAGTAAACCTTTGAAACCCCTATTTGAGTTAGGTTAGAGTCAGGTTCAGAAGCGAGTAAGGAATAAATTGTGCCTAGAGTAGCAAAATATTGCCGTGTTAATATCCGAATATCTACTTTGCTTACCTTTCTGCAACTATATTGTTTCCCCGAGGGACCAAAGTGAATTAAAAACCCTCCCTTCTTTACCCTATGCTGATATTCTTGCCAACTTCACTTAGGGTAAGTGAGAATGGCACCAGAATTCGCTGTTCACTGATGGTCCAGAGCTGGCAAAAAAGACCCCTTGAGCTTAGGTCTGACCTAACATACAATCAAAATTTGTCAGAACGCCCTGACTCTGCAGGCAGAGATCTCCAGAAAATGTTTTTTTGGGACATGATAATGTGATATTAAGACTGTACCTTGGACAGGCTTCAAACCAAAGGGAAGTTTCTCGAAAGGAAAAATAGCAAGCAGGTATCCTTTGAAAGTCTGTGTTTGACTATTTATTGAAGTGAAAGTCTCATTAGCTTTAGTAGAGAAAATACTGCAGAAATCACCTTGTGAATTGAGAGAGACTATTTTTGCTGCTTTGAAATGCACTAAAACAAATACTGTGCCTACACAAGGCTGTAAGGCAGGAAAGCGTGAAAACTGTTCAACTGTCAAAGAAACAGGATCTAAACCACAGACATTTTGATTCTTCCCTTTAACAGGATCCATTTGTAACTTGACCCACATATTTACACATTAGACTTGATCTGAACCTACAGCAACAGTGCAATTTCATTTTTGGAAATGATAAACTGAGTTGTTAAACTTGATGAGAATAATTGGAGAGAAAACAACCAACCAAGAAAGTGGTGCTAGTAAATTTGGAAACATTTAGGCTTGAAGGGCCTGAATTTTCATTTTGATGTATTTGTTGTAAAAGACTTCTTTTGTTTGTTCCTCCGCCTCCCCCCTTTCTATTTTGTTTGAATTTCACCTCTAGGGGATTTCACAACCTTTAAAGTTTCATGGTTATAAGAGCTTAAGTGATAAAGTGCTTAACCTTAGGTTGATATGTGCTCATCAGATTGTCAAATTGTGAGAAACTAAATTTTATTTACTCCTACTATTAATATTCTCCTTGTGCCAGTTCTCTAAGTGTTCCCTAAATGGCTACTTATTTGGGTGTGTTTGCTGGAGGGAATTTGTTGTTATACCTGATGCGTCACAAAGACTGTTAGGGGTGTAGAATTTCAGCTAATTTTCCCGTCTTTGCTTCCCTTCCCCCTTCTTTCTCTGTTCTGCTTCCTTTCTTCCACGCACCCCACCCACTTATTTATTTACATGAATGCTGTGGCCATGGTATCTGAGTATTTCCCAAGTGCTTAAAAATACTGATCACAGAACTAATCTCTGTTCCTTTCAGCCAGTGGGAGAAATAGCTAATTCATTTGCAGGTTTGGTTTTGTTTCTGCATGTGAGGGTATGTCTAATATACGTGTTTGGAGAACTTGGGGAGGGAGAGCTATGTCAAGTCGAAGAGCTTTGCAGTAGCTCTACTAGTTCAGTTTACCAGGGCATTATTATTAGTTCCAAAATTATGTTCCATAATCTGTATGCAGCTGCAGTGGAAATTCTGTCTGCTTCAAGCTTGTAATCCCTCCTTTTTTTTTTTTTTTTTTTTTTTTTTTTTTTTTTTTTTTTTTTTTTTTTTTTTTTTTTTTTTTTTTTTTTTTTTTTTTTTTTTTTTATTATGATCAAGCTCCAGGTGGGGGCTAGCAGCAAATTTGTGTTCTCGTCTTCCTGTGTGATAGGGCAACTTCTATGCAAGCTCTGAATCTAACAGTACAGAGAACCATTTACTCCCAGGTACATCATGTAGCGATAGGAATTATTCCCCAGATGATGCTTCTCCAGAGGGCAAGTTGTAGTTAATGATTTGCCAGTCTTAAGCTATTTAGCACATTGTTATCAAAATGTACTTTCTCTGAATTCTGTATTTGGGTTCACCAGGGAATTATACATCTCCATAAGTTAAAAAAAAGACTACTGAAATCATGTACAGGAGTTCCTCGAGTAACTAATGTCACTTTTATAGGTGCAATATTAAAAAAAAAAATAGAAAAAAAAAGTTCTCCTTCAGCAATAGACCTGTTTGACCCATCTGCTCTTTAGATTTTGAATCACATTAATCAGGTAATGGTAAATACCATTAATACTCAGTGTAGCTTTAAGTATACTGAAATAAAATAGTAACTACCACACATTTATGCCAGTCCATGTTCCCGAACTGGTGGCTTGCTCTGCTTTGGGTGGATATCAGATAGCTTCTTTTAATCTGTATAATGATCTCATGAAGGTGTCATCAAAGGTGTTGTTGACAAAAAAGACTTAAAACCCTGTGTTCCACATTTCCCATTGCTGTCTCAGCCACATCTTACCAGTTTCCTCAACAACTCAGCCAAAGATTTAAATAATATGCCTGGTAGGACCAAGCCTTGTTAGGACTTTTGGTATGAGGAAGGATCTTGCTGATGCAAGAACAGTTCTCTAAGTGTAGTCTAATCAGAAAAACCAAGCTATTTCTGTTTACCCCTCCAGCTTCAAACAGCTGTGAGTGAATCTGATCAAATCAAACTTCTGCTAAATATTTTACAGCTATATTACCAAATACACCTGTAGCACGTGTGCATAATGGTGTATGAAACAGTTCTGATGTGTGTTTAACTAAAGCATGTTGCTTTAATTAATCAGTGTGAGCTGTAAAACCTGTCAATAATTTTCCTTTTGCTTTTCTTTATACACACCTTCTCTGGAGCTTCTCCCCTTTCCTGTTTCCTTGAATCTTTTCCACAGCTGTCAAATGTTTGCATTGATATTAACTGATTCTAGATATATGTGGTCAGCAGTCTTGCTAAATGAGTGAACTTGGTCATGAAATGGGTTTTCCCAGATCCCATGTTGCTGGCAGCAGTAACTTAGTTACTGGGAAGTCACGGTGGTGGCAGAGGTGGCACCTATGTCCTCACTTTCAAACAAGGCATGTTACTATATGCTCTTTATTGTTTAAAAAGAATCTGCCTTCATTCTTACATATTTCTACAAAGCTCTCTATGTGGTAAATAAGGAAATGTCGCAACTCTCTCAACTGCGACTGATAAACTGTTGATAGAAATGGAAGCACTACAATGATGCTAGCTGGAGTTATTCCTAAACAAAGTGAGCTTTGGGAAAAAAAAGCAAAACAAAAAAGCTCTCGTTCATAACTCTTTCCCCAAACTATTTGTGTAATTTGTCCTTCAAAATTTATCGCTTATAACACTAATGAACCTTGGCAAGTCTTAACTATAGTTGCAGCTGTGTTCTTGAAACCTGAAGTTTTTATAATCCAATTTTTTTTTTTTAAATTAACTAAACACATATTTGTCTATTTCTTTTCTGCCCTCCCATCTCATCCTGCTCCTCAATATTCTCTTCTAATTGCAAACAAATGAAATGACCTTTTTTTTTTTATACTGCTGGGTGCAGATCCGGTGTACTGCTGAAGCATTGCACAGCCTGCCTCAGGGGCACAATATTAGTAGAGAGAAGGCCAAAGAATGCTATTTTTAGTTGAACAGTTCAGCAGATGGAGGCATGAATACTCATATATCTGAAGGTTGAGGGGTTTGAACCATTAATTTTGATAATGTATTTAACCCTGGGAACAATCAGAAACTGTAACTCCAAGGTTACAATGCTTTTGACCTTTAGAGGACAGAGGGCACTTGGTACAGTAAACAATATATTACATTTCTACTTATTCCAATTCTCTCACACATATAAATTTCAGGACATAGTTGACATTTGCTTTCCTCAGCTATTTTAGTGCTGGTCCTTAAAGTAAGTCAAGAAGAATGTGCAGGAAAGAGGCCAATGTAATGCGACAGTCATGTAAATATGGCCTTTAAATAGCTAAGTTGTTAAATGTGGCCCTTTATGAAGAAATATTATTCTCAGGAACTAGAATCGGGGTGACTTATTATTTCAATGAAAAGGTTGTTTAAGTGGACTGCTGCTCTTACGATGTTTCCTCTGTATGTTGTAACCTTAACTCAATTTTTCAGTGGGGCTAATGTGATCTGATAGTGATAGCTCACACTGGAGGTGATTTGGTCCCACTCTGGTACCACATCATGCAAAGTGATGTACCTGCCTTATGTCTTATTAAATGATGCATGCTCCTCTTCAACAAATACAGCAGTTAAATATCACGCAGCTTAAG